AGGCTTTTCATAACTATAGCTAAATTAGAACTTCAATTCATAATTGTTGTTGTATTTAATTCATAATAGGCAACCGAAAGACAGTAACTACTGGGGATAACACGACCTATTTAAGTGAGCCAACGCGGTTGAGTTCACTACTTAATCTAGCCTATTTTTCTAATTCGTAAAATTGTATTAAATCTTGGAATCATTTTGTTGGACTGTACAAGAAACCAGGTTTAATCGCAGAGCGTCTCGCGATTAAATTAAAAATAAGGAAAAATTTGGGTAACAGACCGATATCGTTACCTAGGGTTAGTAATTCCATAAGATAGTTTGATTTGATACCAAAGTTGATTAGACGAGTTGGTCGAGGTTGTAGACATAACCGTGATTTTTTTTTTTATTTTATTTTACTTTATTTTTATTTACATTGTTTAGATTATTTTTTTTGTTTCATTACGATTTTAGTTAGTTTAGTTATTAATTCAAAATTCTCCCCCTCCCCCCCTCTTTTATTGCTTTTATAATTCAATTAATACGAGAAAATTTGCGATTTGATGCACACTCCTCGTGGGATCGACCCTTGCTCGTCACTACTACTAGTTAGTAGAGGTTACTTGAGAAAAAATATATATAATAATTTTGGCGCGTTGCGACGTGTGGTTACCACGTTTCGCCTCAGTCTCGTTTATAAAGTCAGTTTTGAACAACACATTTGAATTGATTCTTTCAGTGCCGCCCGAATTTGGGGGCCTCTGTACGGGTAACAGACCGAACGATTGAGGTCCAAACTAAACATGGGAGTAAATCCAAATTCGTGCCCACCAGCGACGGGGTAATCGGAGCATGAACTGGACACGAGGAACAAGCGGGCGGACAAGGGAAGGACGACCGACTAGTACTAATCATTTCAGAGAATTGTCCGTACGATTAGCATTAATGGCAAGGGGATTCTGTAATTACACATCTAATGGTGCTAAACAAGCAAGGACACGTGTCGCCGTCAGAATTCTCCTTCCGCATCGAGATCAAATCTTGTTCAAATCTTGTGGTACATAACATTAAATGCGGTGTGACTAAATATCTATAGAATATCTCATAAAATGAAAACAAGGAATAAATATCCCAAAGAGGATTGTAATGAAGACCTCATGTTTTCTATAAAAGGGAGGAGAGACAACATTAAGTAAGAGGAGAATATTCTCTCATTAGTGATACAAAGAAAAAGTCACGAGTAGAACACACATCTGTTCCATATTCATTACATAACCCTATTCGTGTAGACCGAACCGAGTGTATATTCTAGTACACAGTTCGAAATATTATTAGTTACATTTTCACACATCAACAAAAACATAAATATTATCTATCAAATAATTTTAATTTTATTTACTCTTATATACAATATGAATGAGAAGAATGAAATAAATTATAATATTTTAGTAAATGATTTTAACTGTAAATAAATAATTTTAATTTCTAAATTTTATTTGGTAAAATGTATTTAAATTTTATTTTATTGACTTAAGTTAAACAAAATAAATTTATTCAGCTGTTGGCTGTTGTG